GCTCTAGTTAAACATATCCAAATTTTGCGCGATTTGGTCTACTAAGAAAAAAGTTACGAACGAAAAAGCTTCGAACCATTTCACCGAAGACTTTTGAGCGCTACTGTACATACATCTGGCACTTCTGCATGTCTTCACGGCCAAGAGTGGGTCCCCACATGTCGAAGCCTGGCAAGCTGCGCGTGAGTATCCATATGGCAAAAACGGTAATCAAAATGGGCTTCATTCCTCTGAACCTGAGGAAGCCCTCAACGCGGCAGCGTTGGGTAGGACGGCTCGGGAAAGGCTGCCAAAATCTTGGAGCCGCAACAGGCAGCCTTGAGGAGAGGGACCAGGATGGCGGTCCGCACTTTCTTTGACGGTGTAAATGTTCTTGTCAGCACGGACTTGGCCATGTACATCGAATCGTGCGAAAGCTTGACACCCCGAATGGAGCCTTCGCGTCTGAGGAGAGGTGGCTTGACCGCAGTTCCAAATCTTCGTTGTCTACGCATCAACATCGAGCTACGATGAGGAGGAGCTGTAAGCCTTCATATAGATCTGGAAAGGAGAAGAAGAAGATACGGAGAAGATCATACTCTCTTCATGGTCATCGGTGATTCATAGGTGATTTCAACGCCAAGATTGGCCTCAAAGGAATTGCTGAAAAGCCTCATTCCGGGGCTCACGGAATGAAATGAAGTGGACTCATAGAATGGGGTGAAACGTGTAGGGTAGAAGGCTGTCCGAGTTCATCGCGTCGACCAACACTAACCATGTAACTCTCAATTCCAGAAGCCCTCTCATTTGCGATGTACATGGGAGTCACTTGGTGGACAGTTCCATGATAAATGGACCACATCATTTTTTAGTCGAAAGTTTTGTCTGACTAACGTCGCTGTTATTCCGAAGTTCTACACAAGATCAGTCCACTGTATTCTGTGCGCTAGATGCCGTTTTTCAGTGTGTGGAGGGAGCTGCGAAGAGCCTCGGGGAACGAAGCCCAAGACTTTTGTCAATTGAGATCACTCCGCTTCGCTTGCGAGTTTGCGGAAAGATTTCGACAGCGACAACATGTGTGAGGAATATGATAGGCTCTTCGAAAATTTCCATAAGAGAGTCAGGAAAGCAGGAGCTCAAGAAAAATGCAAAAAATGTCTCTGTTCGAGTATTATTGAGCCGATACGCGCGTGGGACTGCGCGAGCAGCAGACATCGGCCAGCTAATGTTAAAACTTGCGAAGCTATGCAGATAAGCGATGAAGGAAGATCTGAAAGAGAGAAGAGCAACACTTAGGACGAAGCCTTCGAAAAGACCATTCGCAAAGCCCGACGGAGCTTCGTCAATTATGAGGCCAGGATATCTCTTTGTCGTCCTTACGGAACAGTTATCGCATCTGGAAGGGCAATGGAGATATCACTCACGACTTCTACTCTGATCTCTTTGATAACCACGTCTAACTGCCTACCATTCATTCTGAGCAAGAGGGATATGCCGTCCCACCATTTAGAAACTCGAGATGCCATCACTTTGATGGAGAACCACACAGTCCTGGTCCCGATTGGATCAAACCAGAGAATCTAGAGAGTCTTCCGCCAGTCATTTTCAAGGCCTTGGTTTGATACCTATCGGAATGCAGTGTGCCCTCTTCGAGGAGAACTAGCAAGACTGTGTTGCTGTTTAAGAACAGAAATACAGACGACATTGGCAATTATTGTCCAATATTCCTGCTGTCTGTAATCGCAAACTATTCACACGCGTGGTTTTGAACAGGATTGGCAAAGCACTAGATGGAGGGCAGTCAAGGGAACAGGCGGGGTTTTGGAGAGGCTCGGTACAATCGATCACATCCATGCTCTCACAAGACTCATTGAAGTATCGCGAAAGTACAGAATGACGTTATGTCTTACGTTCATCGATTTGAAGGAAGTCTTTGATACCGTTGAGACAGAAGCGGGAATTGAAGCCCTGGATCACCAGAATATTCTTGCCCAATATATAAGGATGCTTCGTGAGCTGATCTCGCCATTCTATGAGAAATCATTAAGAAAAGTGTTGGACACGGCGACTTCATCTCGTCCAAACTTTTCAGTGCCCCTCTCGAGAACATCTTGCGTCATATGGAATGGGAGACATGGGAGTAAAGGTCGACGGCCAATACCTACATAATATCCGCTTTGCAGACGACATTGTGCTTATATGACCGAACATTGGGCAGGCGCAGCTAATGCTGACCTAATTCGACAACCCTTGTGGAAAGATCGTTTCACTACTGAACATAACGAAGACGGTGTTCAGGAGAGAAGGATCGTTACCTATAGTCCTTTCACGCTGAATGGAACGAACATCTTTGAATGCTTTATCTACGTGTATCTAGGCCGAGAAGTCAATATGATGAACGACCTACCACTGGAGCTGAGCAGAAGGAAACGCGCGACCTGAGGAGCATCAGCGAAAAGGACAAAGAACATCCGGCTCCACGCTCACTTCTTCGACACTGCGGTCCTTCCTGCTTTGCCATTCGCCTAAGAGACTTGGATTCTACCAAAACAGAAAGAGCGCTATCACCGTCTTTTAACGCGCTGATGCTGCGCTAAATTCCTCTACACGCACACAAGTGGAGAGAGGAAGTCGGAATTCCGAGCTACGACAATCGAAAATGAGATGGGCCACGCAAGTCATGCGAGAGAGTGATGACCGTTAAACCAGGGCGGTTACTGACTGGATCCCTCGTCACGTCAAACTAAAACCAGGACGCATTCCAGCGTGATGGTCAGACTTCTTCACGGGAGCCTGAGTTGAAGGAATGCTTTGCTCATCATCATTGGCGTTATACCCGAAACGAAGACGATCCATTGGACTGCTCTGGCTCGCGACAGGGTTGAATGTAAAAGTTATTGGCGCGATACAATCGATGATCAACGAGACGATAGGTGATAGGAGTGAAAATTCTTGCCGTCATTTCTAATGTCTTGAAAGTTTCCCTCTTTATGAAACCAGGTGCGCTCTGGACCTCAATTTCGATAGATGTGTGCTCCCGAGAGCAATGCAATAATGCATATCCAGCCATATTCTATTCAACAGTCTGATCGTCACCGATATGACGAAGGATCTTGAAAATAGTGAGATGCTTCAATGACTCCTAGTCTGCTCCACCCTGGCATCTCGATGTGATTCTTACAATATGAGCACTGCGTCAATCCCACTACATTGAGCGCTACTAGAGATAGTTTTGAAATTGATCAAGCCCTAGCTATCATCCGCTTATTAAGATACCCATTGAGTTACCCAAGAAACCGGTTGCCGGAAAAGTTTCCCCGATTTTTGAGTTATCCTTGAGTCATATTTCTTTTTTTTTNTTTTTTTTTCTTATTTTTTTTTATTTTATTTTTTTCTTATTTCTTATTTTTTCCATTCAAAGAGCTCTGCAGAAACCAAAACGAGGGGTAGTGCTATGTTCGGACTACATGAGGTGTGGTGAGATATCCTATCCAAGCTCCAGCGATTTTGGTCGACTGGCCGAAAATACGTGTCGTCTGGAGTTGTCCTGTTGGAAGACGACGCCCTCAGATTGGGCAGTTCTTCTTTATCATTGCCTTCAAATGACCGAATGTTGTATACAAATACAACAACAACGCACACAAAAAAATTCAGAGAACAAGCGCACCGCCAACCGGAGCCAGTACATAAGCCGTTTTTTGGAGGGTATAAAAACCCCACTTGAGCCAGTTCGGAGAGTTTTTGGAGTTTGGCGACCCCGCAAATAGGCGGTTCCGCAGTCGGGCAGTGCTGCGAGTAGAATTGCTCTCAACTCCAATTTCCTCATCCTCTGCTCTTCAACGACTCAGTTACGTATACGATACGACGATCGTTTTTACGACAATGAACAAGAGCGGTGGGATACAAACAACTGGAAGGGGAGAAGCAAGACGCAACGACTTGCCGACTGTCGGACTCACAACCGTCAATCCCAAAGACAGGACAAACAAGGTTACACATCCACTTAGACAAACTTTGGTGATGATGCGAGACTGTATCCATGATTTGTTAACATCCTACTTACTATAAAGCGCTTCGTCTGTCTGTCTGTCTGTTTGTCTGTCTGTCGTTCTGTCTGTATGTCTGTCACGAAATTCCTTAACTCCTTTAGATCTGCCTGGAGAGTCCGGGTCAAGCGTGGGATGGGTGGGTCATGTCCTCAGAGGTATAAAGCACACATCAGCTTGGCGAAGCCCCGCCCACAGTGGGCGTGGCGAGCATCGAAATGAGCTGGACTGAGGACCATGATTTCAAATTCAGTCACAAGGCGGCCTCAAAATTGGGGTTTGAAGGTGGCTAGAGGTGTGCATTGGTAAGTTAGATCGAACTGGGGAGACCCACCCCCGATGGGCGGGGCGTTCTCCAGAAATGCAATGCTTTATGAAAACGTTTATAACTCGGTTTGGAGAAGGCCAACAGAGCAGGAAAAAGTTGATATAGGAGAAGTAGCGTCAAAGGTGTCTCCAGCATAAATGACGTCAGCTGAGGTCCGCCCACAATGGGCGGAGCGTGCCTCGAAGCTCGCATCGTTTCTTACATTTAAATACGAAAAT